TTACACAGTGATGCATACATTGTAATGGATCCAAGGTAATAATCATGTGGTTTGATTTCTAAACTGCAGCATTCCAAGGGCTCTATATCATGTTCATCACTGACCTGGCAAGCACTTGCTGCTGGTTCACGGGCACAGGGAGATCCTCAGCCACACTGGTTCCAGGTGTCCCTGGTCTAATTGATTTCTCCATGGGCTGGCCCATCAGAGGAGCAGGATACTCAGCTGTATCAGACTCCTGAGTATAAGAAGAAATTGGAGGCAACCATTTTGAACAGATATGGTATCTGGATTGATGGATACGAGGCTGATTCACAAATAATTTCCCACAAAGCCCTATAGTTTGCCATTCTCCCAGGAGGAATAGGGAGAAAAGAAACAATGACTGGCTCATCCACAGGTACAAATGCTCCTGCCTAGCACCAAGGTCTGCTGGAGCGTTGTGCACCCAATGGTTTGGCACTACTGCTGTTGGTTTTGCTGCTGCCATACTTCAGTCCCAGCCAGCCAGCTGCTGTACAAGGGTACTGGGAAAGGAAAGGAAAAGAAAGCCTTGTGCTCCCTGGATATGATATAGCATTGCTAGGCAACCATAGAGTGCCTCCGCTACCCCAAACCAGCAAAACATTTAAGTTGCTGACCTCACAATGTGTACTTGAACTCTTGGTAAGTTTAAGATGAGACATTTTCGGTGATGTGGCAGTCTTCCCACCCCATCTGTTTCTGCATGACATATGCACTGTTGCCAATATTATATTTGATGACAGAAATCCACAGTGATAAGTCAGAGTATGTATACTGGATTGAACTAATACATTTGGGGTATCAGTACTGTATACAGCATAATCCTTTGCACGTTAGTAAATTTCACTGTGTTGAAGAAATTTTACTCCCTGGCAAGTGTGTGTAGGATTATGGTGTAACAGCACAATCTTGTGCCTGTTAAGTCTGTAGCAAGTCTCATTAGGCTCTGTGATTAGCAAAGGTGCAAGTAACAGGAGTCCATCCTATGTGGTGTACACAGTCCTATGGACACTAGGGAACAAATCAGATTTACTGTAAGTCTGCAGTTTTAACCTCAGTTACTAAAATCCCAACTAATCACACTGGGAATACTCCTACTAAACTCTCATGGACTAATTTCTGAGTAAGCATGAATATCTGTTTTTAAAAGTAGTTTGACTTGGAGGAATAAGCTCCTCCAAAGTTATTTTGGGGAGCTATCCATGCCAAAAAGTATTAGGTTTAATCATTTGCTCTATCAGATATAATTCAGAGATCCTCTTGTTGTCCGTTAGATTAAGCTTACTCTAATAACTAAATGCCACAAGGTGTGCATTTGCAATCAACTGACTTTTCTCAATTTTGCTTTCAATAAAGTGGTAAAGAAATTCAGAGACAATCTAAATAAATCTTTAAAAGTATATTTGGAACTGCTACCAGTCCTCAAATGTTTTCAGTACCTGGGCCTCCAGTGAGTATACATACATTATCATAGTCACTTTGTCTTTATATAAAGAAATTCAGAAGCAGGGGCAAAGGGTGGGGTGGTGGTGGTTGGTTTTTGCAAATGCATTGAAGAACCCTGTAGTTCCTAAAAGTTATGAGCCTAATTATTGATTTTTTTAAAACCTTTTTTAAAGTTTTATTTATTTCAGTTTCACAAAGAACACTCAATCAACAGCAATAACAAAATATTCTAACAGGCTTAGGATATGAGTAAACAGAAAAACACACACAGGATGCTTAACAGGCAATTCCATTAGGCCCTTAGGGCAGTTATCTGGGTAGCGTTGTATGATTAGGATGAACACAAATGTTCCTTGAAGGAGTCTTTCATGATAGGGTCGGGCTCAAGCAGAAAGTGTCTCTCCATAAGTCAGCAGTTCCTGATGGCGGTTTGGACAAATGTGTGATAGCAGGAACATAATCAATAAGAGTTGACCAGTCCTCACAAAAGGAGTGTGATTTCTTTTGTCCATTACAAGAATCAATGGTGTAGGAAAGTTTTTTAAATAACCATGTATTCCAAATTCTAGTCCACCATTTCTCCCAGCCTATTTATCCATTACTAGCCAAAGTAAGCAGCTTGGCAGGACTTGCTCACTCCACTCTGGTACTCTTTTTCTCCCCTCACCAACATGCCCAGACAGTCTCCCTCTCCCCTCACCTGCACACTTGCTCTTCCTCTCTCTCCCTGCCCATTAGCTGATCTTTCCCTTTCTTCACCAAGACAGATGATCTTTCTCTCACCTTACTCTGCTGCTTTTTGATCCTTCTGTGCTCTTTCTCCCCCCCCCCCCCATTCTTTTGCTTTCTCATTAGTTTTTCCCCTCTCCATATTAGTGTTCAGACTTTCTTCTCTGTTCATTCTCCCATCCAACACTAACAAGTAGTACAGCTTTTTATTTCTCTTTCTCTTTTAAATTACTAAACAGCCCTCGTAAGCTACTATCACACAAGCTCCCCATCATCTGCAGTACAGGAATTGCAATGCCAACCTGTTTTTACTGTTGTGAATATCATGTCATGGGTGCTTATAAACAAAAATTTCCTTGTGGCACCAATCAAAAGACTTTGTGCAGCTACTCTAATGTTCTCTCATTTTTATGGCATAAAACAAACAAACAGAAGAAGCGGTAGGAAAACATAAGAGTCACAATGGACCTTCATAATATTTCATGGTAATTACAGAATAAAAGTATTATCTGGAAGTACCCCAGGATAACACATGTGAAGCAGGATGACAGTTCTAAAACGTGTTGTTATTGTGTGTCTTCAAGTCATTTCTGATTTATGGCAACCCTAAGGAGAACCTATCCTGGCATTTTCTTGGCAAGATTTGTTCAGAGGGGATTTCCTATTGCCTTCCTTTGTTACTGAGAGAGTGTGACTTGCCCAAGCTCACCCAGTTGGTTTCCAGGGCTGAGTAGGATTCAAACTCTGGTCCTCCAAAGTCCTAGTCCAATTCAAACCACTAGTCTAAGCCAGTTCCTCTAAAATGCTACAGAAATGCTAAATATTACTATTATTATTTAATCCAAATAATCTGCCATAGAAGCAGGACAGAACTATTTGGTGTTACTATCAACAATTCCTATTACACAGCATCCCTATGTAATGGTAAATTACAATCGCACCACCTCCTGTACATTTTAAAACTATTTCTTTGGTTATATGTATTCTTGCATCTATTTTATTACTTGTATGAAGTTTATATTTCAGGGTACCTTGGCTGACACTTCTGTTTCTTCAGTTGGGTCTGGAGATGAAAGGCCTTGGTCAGATGCATCTTTCACTGGCTGACTGGTTTCTAGAGAGAACAAAAAAGTAACAATAAGTGAAGTTTTTGCCACAAGGCCTCCTAAGCCTGAGATGTATAGTTCTTTTTAAAAGAGTTAAAGGGGTTCTGAGTGGTTTTGCATGGAATGAACTGATATATTTCTTAACTATACAATTTCTACCTTTTTTTAATTTAATAAAACCTTTCAGGGTACTTTACCATACAAGAGCTACAAAAACAGTAATACAGCAATAAATAATACATCCACAATTACACCAAAATATAAGGACTTTATCACACGAGGCTATAAAAGCAGAATTTTAACAGGATAAAAGTGTCTTTGGCCAGTACTCATCACAAGATGTTGTGTCCATCCTGCTGCTGCCTTGCATTCCATTCATTACTGTAGTGCACCTTTTCAATGATGGGCAAAACCTGTCAATAGGCTTTCAGTCTTGCTGCTATTCCATTACTGCCTTCGTGCAATAGGTCCACTACAGTTCCACTTCTTAGGCAGTTGTGTGGTGTGAATGGGCATGATTCTGCTCCCTCCACTTTGCAGCTACCATGGCTGCCAACACCATCCCGAAGCTGGTTGCTGTGTGTACATTCATACAGCAGCCAGATATGGGTCACTTGTTCCCCTCTTCCTCCTAGAAGGCAGCATTTGGCTGTGCTGAAAATAGATCACACAACTACAGATTGCCAGAATGCTATTATGGGGGAAAGTGTGATAAGAAATTATGCCAAACCATTATGCTTCCATTCTTAAACTAGCGCAATTGTGGTGGAATGACAGGCTGGTGTGATAAAGTCCTAAAACTGAGACAATTTTTCTAAGGGTTGGACTAATAAGTGAGGTATGCACAACTGAGTTTTTAACTCTTGGAACTAAAAAAAAAGCGACACTCTGGAACTGTGCCTACTCCACCATCTGGACAGGGACTGTGGCATGAAGAAAAAAGATGCTTATCTTTTCCCCACAATTCCCCCCATAAAAAAAAATTCTTCCGCAAATTAGCTACTTGTGGCAGAAGGCTCATATGAGTGGAGGAAATTCTTTAGATATTCTGGTCACAAACCATCTAGGATTTTTACAGTTTAATTTGGCAACATAAATGGATCTTGGAAGCAAATTAGAAACAAGTGACACAGCTAATAGAGGCAGGGAACTGACTGAAGCCTCTGGGCTTATTATTGAACCTTAGTCAGAATGCCAGCAGCCACATTCTCAACTGATTGAAGCTTCTGCCTTGTTCTCGTGGGCAGCAATAATCTATTATTGTAATCTAGATTAGAATAATCTAACTGGAGGTGGCCAGAGCATGGATGATCAAGGACAGGTCTAGTTTCCCCAGGTAAGAGAGCCATCAGTATAATGTATGAATCAAAACTGATCCAAACTACCTATGGTCACTACTGCTACTTGGGTATCCAGAAACAGAGCCTGATTCAGGATTACACTGGATATAGAGAATAATCCTATATAGAGTTGATTCAAGAAGAGTACAGTTCTAAATTAACACCCAACTGCCTTGTCAGGATTAAATTTAATTTGTTCACCCACATTCAGTTCAAAACTGTTGGCCTTTTAATGCTTCTCCTGGGTTAGAAGATGGAAATTAAAGACAGATCCAGATATCACTTGCATGCTAATGACACAACTCTCTGGATTACCCCTACCAACCATTTCATAGATGTAAAACAACATGAGAGAGCCAGTGTGGTGTAGTGATTAGAGCCTTGGACTATGACTCTAGAGACCAGGGTTCGAATCCCGGCGCAGCCATGGAAACCCACTTGGTGACTGTTGGCAAGTCACACTCTCTCATTCTCAGAGGATGGCAATGGCAAACCTCCTCTGACAAAACTTGCCAAGAAAGACCCATAAATCGCCATAAGTCAGAAGTGACTTGAAGATGCACAGCAACAACAACAACAACGGAAACAAGACTGTAGCTGGCAGAACCTTGACAATCAAAAGTGCAGCAAATGTTTTGGACTTTAGCTACCAGGTCCTAGCCAGCAAAGAGATTATGGGGGCTATATCCCAAAATTTCTGGGAAGCTAAAGATACTCCATCCTTGCCCCATACCAAAGATATATAAAAGCAGTCTCCCAGCAGATCTATTCTCCAAGAAGGAGCATGAGAGCTTTTTAAAAACTATAGTTCCAAATCCTATCTCTGTTAGATGTTCCATGGGGACTTTGCATACAATCTCCTAGTTTGAATCCTTTACTCTGACACGGGGCTCATTCTCACTATGATAGACACTGATTTGCTGATTGGGTTATATGTGCATCGTCCAGAATGAGCTGACTGCATTCGGTCGGAGTCATGTTAAAGTGAGACAAATGCAAAAAAACTGCTTTTTTTAGACATTAGTCTTTTGCTGGTTCTTTTGAAAAGACCTGATTTCAAAGCGTGTTCAACAAGTGAATGACATGTCTGATTCACATCGGGGCTGCACCATCTCTTGTCGGCTTTCCTCAGCCCTGCTCCGGCGCTCTGAGGGAGTGGGGGAAGCCCAACCATGGTGGCCTCAAATGCAGAGCCCATGGCGAGCAGGCAGGCCCCTAGGAATGGTGTGAAGGGGAGCATGCACGCAAGAGAGACGAGGCTGTGCGTGGCTTGGAGTAGAAATGCCTGCCTCCCATCCGCTTCCACCCCAGGGGATCATTGTTGCCAGCAGAGGTGCCAGGCCTCCCCCAGCCGCAGCCAATCTCTCGGCTGCATGCAGCCTAGCCGAGCCTTTGCAATGGGGCTTATTGAGGCCCCGATTCTTTGCCTGGCCCAGGAAGTTGTACTGGGCCTTCCCCTGGTCCCTGGCTGTTTTAAAGGTGCCATTTTAAGGGCTCCTGGCACCTCGTCCTCCTCCTGCTGCTGAGTTGAGCTGGGGTGCAGCTTATTCTGTGTCGCTAGTGGGAACAACATGGGATAAGGACATAATTTGCATCCACAGTGGGAACAACTCATTGGCCTCAATCGAATCCACAACCCAGTGTCAACACGATTCGCAAACTGGATTAAATGTATGTGGGAATGAGCCCACTGTTTACTATTCTGCACAATTTTCAGACAGAAACAGTGAAGGACAAGGATGCCCTAGTTTCCAACTGCTAGAAATGTTATTGAGCAACATCTCCACATCTGAGATTCCATAAGGCATGAGAACCTCAGGAATTTTAAACTCTGAGCCCAGGGTCAATGTCTATGCCAATATTCAGCGCCTGCAAATAGGAATCCTGGCTCAAATTATCTTTCCAATGAAATCCAATGGCTCTTTATCAGATCTGCTCCATTCCTACCTGCTTCCTTCTTGAGGTTCTCTTCTAAAGCGTAGAACTTCTGGTCATACGCATTCCTCAAAGCATTGATGTCCTCCTCAAGCCGGACACGAGATTCTTGCTCTGCTTCATAGTCAGCCTTCAGCTGGGCGAGTTGCTCTTCATACTCCTAGAAAGGTGAAGAGATGTTGCTGAACTGCAACTCCCATCAACCATAGGATACAATGCCAAGAGTTAATGGGAACTGTAGTCAATAAGTTCCAGAGAGGATCACAAGTATCTCACTTGTGTACCAAGCAGAAATTTTCAGTTAAAGCAAGAAAACAGATGCTCACATTTAAAGGGAGCTAGTGGGAAAAATTAGGAACACCCAGACTTCTAGTAATAAGTTATAACAGTATCCTGATTAGGGTTCAGTAGATCAACTCACACAGACCAACAACCAAAGATGGCTAGCAATGCCTTAAATAGGTCAATGAGCCAGAATGATTGAGGCTGAACAATTTCTGTGGTGGTGCCTGTCTTTGGAATGCCCTCCCCAAAGTCCATTTGGCATTGTCACTTATCATTTCCCCTCCATATTTTTTTTAAAGTTTCTGTCTTTGTGGATATTTTCTAAATGGATTTTGGCTCATGGCTCAGCTACCTAACAGTAACTGGATTTCATAATAATTGAAGGTTAATTTGAAACCCATGTCAAAAATAACAACAACAACAATTACTACTACTACTACTACTACTTGTACTGCTATCTCATTCCCCCCCCCCAGTTTGTGACTCAAAATGGCTTACAACCATTAAAACAAACATAGATGAAGATTAACAGCATACAAAAGTTAAAAAGTAATCAAATGATCACAAAATCTGAAACCAGTTAAAACAAATTAGAACAACAACAAATAAAAATCCAGCATATTATACAAGTCTTGTTTCCCTAGAAAAATCAATTTTCAAAGGCCTGCCAAAATTAAAAGGCTATACAGCAAACTCCACTCCCAGACACAGTGCTACATGGTGTGGTTAACTTACTTCTCGGATTTGTTGTTTCTCTTTCTCAATGTCTACTTCAGATTCAAGAGAAGGTTCTGGCTTCACCTCAGGCTGAGCAGCTTCAGAAGGTAGCAACTGAGACAATTCTATCAAGGCAGGAAAGAAAAGGCCTAATTTATAAGGACTGGTGCAGTGACAGGGTGACAGGGAAACTGAACCTGGCCGCCAAGCTGAGCTGCTAACCCTTTCCTAATAAACCAAAGAATCTCATTTTCAATGATACATTATATATTTATCTCCAAGCATTGTTTTGTGTTGCACTGCATTTTATTTTAGCTTAGTTATCTAACCATGTGAAATGTGTGATTAGGTTGGTGTAAGTACCCCCTGCATGAATATCCATTCTGGAGAAATGATAATTTCCCAGCCCCTAGACTACAATACTGAATTTCTATGGATGCTGATTATGTCAATACAGCTCAGCAATGCAATTCTTACTCATATTCTTATTCAATTCTTACCATAAACATCATTTTATTTGACTTTAAGTACTTAAAAATATTTAGATACTTAAGAGAAAGAGTAGCAGCAAAACTGGATTTCTGGCTGAAATACCAAGTGGGAAAAGGTCCACCAACTACACCAGCATGGGAGGGGTGGGGTCCATGCTCTCTGACATGAAGAAGGATATGAGAATGGGAATCTAGCCCCTTCCTCTCATTTTTAGCTTATCTCTGCTGTAAAAACAGCTAACAATTCCCAAAGGAGAAATTGAATATGTATGGTAGCAGGTGTACATCAAAGAATAAAAGTACAAAACAAGAAGTATTAAAAAGTATGCAAATATATGAACAATGAATTTAATTTTTCAATATCACCCTAACTCCTGCAATGTAGTGCCTTCCAACTGTGTTGAACTACAACCCCCATGCTAGCTGGAAGAGCTAGAATCTGTAGTCCATCACTCCCAGAGGGTGTCAACTTAGGCTGTCAACTTTTATATTGACCATACAAGTTACCAGTATAGTGACCGAAAAGGGGGAAATTTCTGTGTCCTTAGAAGATTAAAAAGTTCTCAGTGCTGGTACTGATACAGCCTTCCCCCAGCAAGGAAGAGAACATGAGCAAGCGCACTTCAATCAGTGGTAAAGTGACCCTACCTTGCAAGTTGCTGATATTCATCTGCTGTGCCAAGATTGCCTTCAGCTTCTTGATCTCCTCCTGGTACTCCCTCAGCAGAGCATCCTTGGGGTCCTCATTGATGCGGGGCTTGTTCCGGATGTTCTTGGCTCGATGGGCATAGCGCAAGGTGCTGAGAGACTCATCATAGTTGTTGTCAGCTGGAGACAGGCAGGCTACCATGAGTGTCTTTGTATTGCCTCCAAGTGAGTCCTGCAGCACCCGGGTCAGTTTGGAGTCTCGGTAGGGAATGTGTCTGCACCGCCCATCCGCTAGTGCTGAGATGACATTGCCCAGAGCTGAGAGAGACAAGTTGATTTTGGTGGCCTCCTTGAGGCGCTCACCAACAGCACCAGTTTTGGACTGCCTCTCGCTCCCAGCCAGATCCACGAGGTTAAGCTTTGCAGCCCTGAGATGATCTTCTCCTCTCTCGTCTGCAAAGGAAGAATGAGTTTGGACTGGGATGAAAGAGAAGGCAGCTCCCTGACCAGCCAGAACAAGCTTCCCTTCCAGGTGTGCTGGGCGATGGATGATATAAGTTGTAGTCAAACTTATGTGGTGTGAACGAGGTTGGGGAAATCTGCACTTGACTACATCAGTACCTAGTATTACATACTTCCCAGCAATGAGAAAGTGAAGTTACGCATCTTTCCATTTTGTTCTCTTCAAAAGATGGTTGAGGGACACTGAATTCCCCCACCACTAACACACAACCCACCACTAAAGATAAATCATTTAAATGATTGTTCATATCATTTGACTTTGAAGGATCCCCTCACCTCAAACCTCTCATTCAACAGAAGTGGTGTCAACCTGGATTCTCTCTGTAGTGTGGATGTAGCCCTAGACTGCATTGTTTTGACCTTGCAGCTCTTGCTTCTGTTCTCAGGTGTTTATTAAAACCACACGAGCCTCTGTCCCATCACATCCAGTCCAACCCTACTTCAGTAACATTCTGCTTTTACCTACAACGTAGATCTCCATGTTTATGGTGAAGATGGAGTGGGATCGGGAGGAGTCTTTGTTCATCAGGGTGTTGCCCACGGCACGGTTTCTCCAACCTATCTCCATGATGCGCTCACACTGGGCAATGCTGTGCACTGTATGTAGCGAGAGGCCCTTTACATAGACCCCTTTCTCTGGGTGCTCCTTCAGCTACAAGGGAGACCACAACAGCAAGAAAGTTACAGGAATCAGTGAAAGAAAAACGTGAACTAGGAAAGGATGACCAGGACTGCATCCACATTGCAGAAATAACCCAGTTTGACACCACTTTAATTGCCGTGGCTCAGAGCTATGGAATCCTGGGAATTATAGTTTATTGTGCCACAT